GCTTTTGTAACGAAGGATTCAGTGGAAATGGATTCAACTGTAGCGATGTAGACGAGTGTGCCTCATCAGCTCATCAGTGCAATATTTCTGCAAACTGTATTAATACTCTTGGTTCCTACAGATGTAACTGTTCAGCAGGGTTTCTCGCTCATGATAATTCTTGTATTGATGTCGATGAGTGTGCGCAAAAGTTACATAGCTGTGATGCGCATGCCTCATGCTTAAACACTGCTGGATCTTACAATTGCAGTTGCCACCAAGGATACACAGGTGATGGATTTAATTGTAATGATACGGACGCGTGCGCATCGGAGGTCGACAAGTGTCACTTAAATGCAACCTGTTTAAATTATCAGGGATCCTTTAAGTGCTCTTGTAAAACAGGATTTACCGGAAATGGTTCTAACTGTGAAGATGTCGACGAGTGCTTGCTGAATACAGATTCAGGTTTGACTGGAAATAAATCCAACTATACCGATGTCAACAACAGTCATACAAAAATCGATAAATGCCATTCCGATGCAACTTGCACCAACACGCCTGGCTCCTTCCGATGTATTTGTAAAACAGGATATACAGGTAATGGTGTTGACTGTGCGGATATCAACGAATGTGAACGTGGAGAACATAATTGTCATGTTAATTCTATTTGTGTGAACTCAAATGGGTCGCACAGCTGTATTTGCTCACTGGGCTTCAATGGAAACGGCTTGGATTGCGATGACATTAATGAATGTACCCAAAACAGTTATCACTGCGGTGAAAACGCGAAATGTCTGAACACACCAGGGTCTTACAAATGCAAATGCGATAAAGGTTTTTATGAGAGCGGAAACTCTTGTCAACCTCACCACAATTGTGTGTCAAGCTCGGATTGTTCCACAAACGCAAATTGTACAGAATTAAACGGATCCTACATCTGCCAGTGTAAAAGTGGATTCATTGGAGACGGATACAACTGCACAGGTATTTGTCATAAGAGCACGCGTGGTAATGAACACTTGTTCCACCTGTGCACCAATCTCGTTCCCAGGTGTCATGCTCTTTTTATCCCTTGTGGGCGGAGACCCCACCCGCAAGGGATTAGGGATACGTGACCTCTGAGAATGAGATTGCGCGTGCCCTTAACCATCCGCGCATGCTTATTCTGTTAATGGGAGGGACGTTGATCTTTGAAAGCACTTTTCGACTGAGAGTCGTAAAACCCCATAACCAGATAATAATCACCACGGCCAATTAAGACAAAGGAAATAAAACAAGGAATCAGAAACAACTCATTTGAAAAAAACAATCCATGAGCCTTAAGCACGAGAAAATTCGCAAAAGTTAGGGAAAGCTTTCTAAACCAGTCAGCGATTGTAATGAAACGAAACCAGTTTCATGAGGTGATGGTTTGATCTTGCAGTTGTCATTTTTTATCTACATCAGCTGAAGGCCGATCTACACCAAAGACAGCGAAAGCAAGAGTCTCTAAAGTGCAAGCTCAGCGGCAAGTTATTATTGGTTCGGTGTCAGGGGCTGTGGCTTTCATCATTGTTGTGGGAATTTTTATCCTTTTTGTCAGGTAGGCAAGGATGATTTTCTGGCAGAATCAATTAGTTTTAGAGGTGTTTTCTTAAGCAAGTTGTCTCCTATTTTTCTAAAAGGGGGTAGGTTGCAAAAGAAACTGTGGTGCTGCGTCGGCAGTGGGGGTATTTAAAAAAACATGGTTTTATTAACCGAGTCATAAATTTTTTTGTACGAGTTTCTAAAGCTCACGTTTCGAGCGTTAGCCCCTCGTCATTTGCTCTGACGAAAGTTTCGAGCGTTAGCCCTTTTTACAGCGCAAAAGACGGAGGGCTCCACTCGAAACGTGAGCTTTAGAAACTCTTTACGGAGGCCAATTTACGTTATCAACTCAGTCGATGAAACCAAGTTATCATGTTTTGTTACACCGGTCGCTCGCTAGTGATTAGTTGACTTTTTTTAAGAGGTCATCTTTGGCAGCTGGGATTCGTTTTTTAAGGCCTTTGCCATCGTGGAGAAGTGGAATTAAGATGAGTGTATGGATCGTGGGCAAGAGGATAACTAGAAAAAAATGGGGTCTAGTAGAGAGGTAGCCATTAATGAATGTTCAAATGTGTTGCTTCAGGGAACTAAATGCTGATATGTTTTTTTGCAAGTAAAAAATTAGCTTTGCTCGAAGGAAAACACTCAATGCTGTATCATTTTGCTAAGATGACAAAACACGAAACTGGAAAGATTTAATAAAAAAAGAGTAAGGATTTGTACTGAATGATTAAAAGGACTGACGCAGATAAAAAAGTAGAGGCTGACTTGAACTGATTTTAGACTCAATGTTCCACAACGCTCACACTTTGGCTTCGGTCCTTGAAGGGTGTGCACTGAAGACAAATTCATAGGAGCCCTTTGCCCACTTTTCCCATACACTAGGCACAACTTCGCGCTCAAGAAATCACTCGAGCGTCGCATAGCACAACCACAGAAGAAACTTGGAAATTAAAGAGCTGTAGTTTTGATTAGTAAGAAACAACGGGGTTGAGATGTGAATCATGTTATCGTTAGTTCGCTTTAACGCTTTTTATCGACGCTTTTTGCAGATTAAAGTGGAAAAAAGAGAGTAAGCCAATGATTCGTCATGCGAGCACAGTCATGGGCCATATTGACGAAATTATGATGGAAGAACAAACAGACAAAGTGCTCGATTGTGTATCTGTCAGATCCTCTCGTTTCTCCATTCCAAGCCTTCATCTTTCAAGTTTAAGCATAAACAGAATACACAAAGGGGAGGGTCATTTATGACGGCATTGGATATCCTTTTGCTTGCGGCTATTTTAAAAACTTCCTGTTCGTGTAATTTAAATAAAGCGAGTAGAATTGTAAGCAGATAAGTTTTTTCCCGAGTTCAGTCATTCCATTTGAGCTGGATTATCAAATACCCATTGTGCTGCAGTTCCTCTGTGGTAAATATGTCTTTCAATGTTTGAATGATATTTCTCAAGGGCATCATGTATAGTCTAAACAGAAAACCAATTCGTTTTACGACATCTTCAACAGAATTCAATAGATATTATCTTTTAATATAATCTAACGCGATCATATCTGTTTACCATAACGTACGTTGTTGTGAATGCGAAAGACGAATTTATTACATTCGTTCATCAGTTGCAACCTCCTACATCTTGTTCACCCTTATTCATAATTTATTGTCGCCTCTTCGAGTTATTTTTTTTTCTTTCTTGCCGATGTGATATTTTGGAATCTATTTTTAACAAAAACAAGTTTTACAAGTGACAAGGAAAGACTCGATGAATGACGTACATTCCTTTATTGCCGCTAATTGTTTCACTTTTCATCTGCTTACGACATCTTCATTGAAGACATGATGTCTTTGTTAGCAGCTATATATAAAGACAAACAGGGAAACCTCTTGGTGACCTTTTTTTCCGCGAAAACAACTCTGGCTCTATCTAAAAATAGAAAGGAAAATTAGAAGTTGATGCAGCTGGGATGTATTTTACGGGAGTTACAACTGAAGTTGTAACATGGAAATCCTGGAAAATTTCGCCTAAGCGATTAAGTAGGCAATTGTGTGTATTTCCTGTCCAAGTGTTTGAATATTCATCACGGGACTTTCCCTACGAGCAGGAAACATTTCGAGCGCTCCACACTTCCTCCCAAACCCTTCGTTAAGAGAATCTTTTCCAAGTTTAAGTTCAAGAGTAGACCCGCGAAAAGCAAAAGCATACGATCAGATTCGTTTGTGTTTCTTGAGCGTACATCACAATTCACTTCCGGTGTGCGATGTTTACGCCAACAGAATTCGAAACTTCGATTTAGGATTCTAAGTTACTTTCATTTCTTGACGCACGATTTACAGGTGACCATATTACAGACTTTGTTATTTCATTCTTTAATAAAGAGGTTTTCCTATTCAAGGCCAGCCGGTGTTATACATCTATTGTGTCTTTTGTACTTGATTTGCTGGGGTTATTTTTATAGGGGATTTAAGGTTATCAATTGCAAAAAACCATACGAAAAGCGAAAGCTTCGATTCTTAGTTCTTTGATCTTTGTCAAAGCCGCAGAAGATCGCTTATCACTGAGCGAAGGGCTCGGATCACTGCCTCCTTCGTTCGCGGTTCGAGACGGTGAAAAGGTATCCCAACCTCTTTGAAGAACATTATAGGTCAACGACTCTGAAAACCTCCCCGAACATTTAGGTTGGACGACTCTGCCAGTCATCAAAGTTCTGTTCGACGAACTTAATTTGTATCTTGATTTTAACTTTTAAGCAAACGTTGATAAATATTAAAAGATATGAAAATATACAGGAAGAATGTACAATATTGTCAAAATACTTCATAAGTATGCTATCAAACCAACCACCAAGATATCTTTATTCTCTAATTTTTTTCCCAGGCCCTGGTGTGCTCAGCAACTGTCTTTTTCCGTCTCTGTGAAATGATGATATCAGAATATGAAAATAGCCACTGATTGTGCTCGGTCAAGGTTAACAACTCTACAAGAAAGCGAAATATTGAGAAATAACAAGTAATTGGACTGCAGTTTGCTTAATTAGGACAATTTTTTGCTTTCCTGGGACATTTTCAGCTCCTGAAAGTTGTGTGTTAGGCTCATATAATCCTCATGGTGTTCCACTTAAAAGAGGAAGTCAAAATTAACAGCGGAAGTCATTCGCTTACTAAGAAATAAACGTACAATGCGTCACTCTCTGCTTCAGTTGCGTTACAGCTTCGTTTCAGAAAATTGATCTGAGATGTTTTAAGCTATTTTATGCTAATACTACAAGTCATGACCGCTTGAAGAATTAGATTAAAGACAGTTTAAGCCTTGAAGAACAATTTTTACACGTCGACTACCAACAAGATTAAAAGATTCAATAATATTGTAAGGAAGTGTCTTTATTTATGGGAAAGAACCTAATTTTAACTATTAAAGTACTCAATGAACTCACATGACGTTTCGAAAGTACACTCCCACACGCGGGAAACAAATAGCTTTTAGGTGTGCTGGCTTTTGTATCTCATTTCACTTAGTACTGTTTTCACAGTGCCTGGTGCAGTTATCTAAAGATCTGCCGCAATCTGGTTCGACCGCGATTTCAAATCTGCTGATGCTATGGAGAAAATTAGCATTTTGTTAGTATTGTGCCACCCCTTTTTCTTCCACGACGTAAGTACATTTGATCTAATTTAAAGAAACTCGGAAGTTTACGAGTTAGATTTTTTGGCTGATGACTAACATCAACAACAGTCTCCATGTATAAATATAATTTAGGCTCAAATAAGTACAAAAAAATATAGAAGTAAGTTGCTAAGCATTAGGAAAGGCACGTGGTCTTTTTTCCCGTTTGAGAAACACAATTTTGTAGTCTGTGAAAAAAATCCAAGTTATTACGTCAACTAGTCCACTTTGTCTTCCACGAAACTTCTAGGAATAAGCAACTGTCGACTTACGTACTTTTATTTCCATCATCGAAAAACTTTCCCTTCCACGACGCACATAATTCCTTCAGAATACACGGATTTAGTTCGTATGATTTTAACTGATTTAATTTTCGTTTAAGTACTGTGCTTTATGTAAATCCATAAACTTAATTTTCCTCATTGGATTATCAATGTGGTCAGTCATATTGCCCACAGTTGGGCGAATCTTGTCATAATTTTCGAAGAGTTTCCTAGAGTGGCCTACATATTCGTGATGTTTTCCTTGAAAATTATTGAGGTAGATATTGCTTCTTCGAAGCAGGATTCCAATACCCAGTCGTAGCTTTTAGTTGCACACAATTAAAAATTACAGCGAAGCAAATTATTTTTTTTATAGACTCACTAATGAACTTAGTTAAAGGCTGAAATGCGGGAAAAAAAGACGCTAACCTCAATGTTCTGAATAAAGGCATAGTTTTATAGATTTTAATAATCCTTGCTTGAGAAAAATTTTTTTATTAACACATGAGCAGAAACTGAAAGATTGTCGACGACATGAAATGCAATAAGGATTTTTTCGATCGGTCTCAATAAAGCCGTTTTAGCAGAAAGATTTACCTTCACCACGCTTTTATTAGATGCTCGTTCCCTTCTTTCGCATTTAGCATGCCGTCCTCGCCATGTTGATTTTCATCTAGGTCCTCTTGGCATTCGGTTCATGTACAATACCCTCCCTGTACCATTCCTCGCCTTTCGGAAACGAAAGTTCGGTCCAGTCAAGCCTCCGAAAATATAATACATGTAATACCAACCAGTCTTCCTCCGTGTAACTTGGTCAGTTCTCAAACTCAGTACAGCATTTCTGTAAAATTTCATCCTCTCACGACCTTAATATAAGGCTTATGAGGAGATTTTATAGGTTGACCATCACTTTTCTCTTTGCTTTTCTTAGATCATAGTTGGGGGTGAGATATGCAGCTCTGCTACGTATTATGACCTAAGCACAAAACGCTGTGAACTTTGCCCGGCTTGTGACCCTGGAGAAGAGCACACAAGAAACTGTGGACATAATGAAATGGGGGCGAAGACGGGTCATATGTGTAAAAAGTGTCGTACAGGATTTTTCCAGGACAAGAAATCTACCAGGGGCTGTCCTCGCTGCCAGTCGTGCAGTGATGATGAAGTTCAAATAGAACCATGCACGGCGATTAGCGATACTGTTTGTGCCAATGAATGTCCCAAAGGGTAAGATATTTGACTTAGGTGTCTGATCGTCCGGGTGAGTGTAGTCCTGAGGAGGACTGTTTTCGGTACTATTGACTGACGCTTCGATAACCTGAGCGGAAGTCAAACCAGCTCTCCAAAGTCAGTCGTTGAAAATAGGGTAAGATGTGTAATAAAAACAGCGCGCAATACTACCTCAAAAACAGCAACATGCTCTCAGCCCTGTCTAGTCTGAAGCGTCAGCTGTCCTTTTGCCCCAATTTCAAATTGCTATCATAGTTCCTCAGTGTATGATCTTTTTGACGGGTACTCATCGTGGCAAAGGGAAAGTCTCCAATGGTTAAAATAGTGGAAGGGCTCTTTTTAACTCACTCGCGCTATTTGTTATGCATTCCACTAGATTCTGTACAATCTTGTGTTGGGACTCACTGGAGACTAATGATACTGCAGTACCAGGCTTATTATGGGATATCGTGCTGGTTTCTTTATCAGAAATTCTTGTTTTGTCATATCTTGTCATAGGAAATATGAAGTTGATAAAGTATGTCGTCCAATCCCACCTACTACTGTACCGGTGACTACACCAGTTACCTCACCGTCGACCACAGCGACGACAAAACAGGTCTCGAGCCAGAAGACTGAGATAACACTGCCGTCAAAATCGACAACATCAGCCTTTTTTCCGACAGAACCTAAAAGTGATAATGAACCAGAAGCCTCGCAGAAGGGTAAGTTAACCGGCGCTTAATTTACACCTTAATATCAATTGGCATATTCTCCATACTGTTCTCTATACATTTCCAACAGTGCTGACAAAGAGAAATTGATTAACAATTAAGAACTTCTTTGGTCGGTGATTGTTTCCTTTATTCTCATAACCTTACTGCTTGCATCACTAGTGTTGTGTCAGGAGAAATTAGATGCTAATCAGTCTTAGAGGTTAAAGGGTTCAATCTACTATCGGTGAGATTTAAATACCTGATATAAGTCAAGAAAGTGGGATTCGCCAGCGTTAACAACAAAAAAAACTGCCGACAATTACAATCTAAAAAAGGCTCTGTGTGTTACTTATGCAGATCACAATTGAAGATGAAAAAAAATTTGTGAGTAATGTTTGATGAGCGCGCTCATTTGACTAAGGGATCGGTCCTTATTACTAGTCAGGGGGGGAGGGAGGTGAGAGGATCTTGTTTGTGTCACGATAAAATTTACCTGATCCCCCATAAGGCTCTTTTATATTCTCTTAAACCCCCCCCCCCCACTCATTAGCAGTTAATTAGCAGTCGATTTTCAATAGTCTTCCCTTTATGCTTTGTTGACAACGACTGATCCCATCTCCGTTCTCCCATGTGATCTTAATTTTAAAGTAAAACAGTTTTAAACTTTGAATTTCATAGGAAGTTCCGAAAGACGCTTTAGTAAACCTGGCTGGTTGGTTTTCTTCTCTCTGATGGGATTCGTGTTGGGCACTGCCTTAACCATTGTGACATTTCGCAAACGGAAACAAATTACAGCATTGTGTCGTGTGCCTTGCCGTAAGTATCGAGAATTGTCGTCCGATCATGATGTCGAACGTGGTATTTTGTCGGCTCCCCAGACAGTAGAAGATCATTATGCTGAACCGGCAGATCATAGGACAAGTAAGTTACATAAAAAATGCTAAGAGCTGGTGTTCTTTGAATTCACCATCATTTGTTTGTCGTTAGTTAACTGTGACGCGATAGTGGCATGCGCTTTCCGCGTTTGCTGAAAATGCCGCCAGTTGCAAAACATGAAGCCGTTAAAAGGGACAGGAACACAAACAGATATTAACAACGGTGGAAAATATGTAAAAATGTGATAAAAAAAAGTGATATACCAGAACTTTGCAAATAGTTTCAAAATTAGCTAATCATTCGATCAACTATTTTCCAGACAAAGCTGAACCTTTCTTTCCTAAAGACGACGCAGTATCACCAGCGGCACAGTCACCCTTTCCTTCTACCGGTGAGTAGTTGTTGTTTTCCTGTCATGAAGTATTACTTCACCATCCAATGAGCTGTAATCGATCGCGAGCGGTATAATTAACTTTGAATTTAAAAAAGTCAGTCAGAGTCATTGTGGGACGGGTTAGTTTCCAGTGTGTCTCGTTTGTAATCCATATTCATTTGTAACCTTTCTTGGTTAGAGCTAAGATATCCCAGGTTCGGACAGACAAAGGAGATCGACGAGGAAAAGAGGCAGTGTGCCTGTTCCATAAATGAACCAGGTTAATCCTATGCATTTCATAATTGTATAACATAAGATATCAGTTATTATTTAACGCCGGGGAAGGAGGGTGGAGGATTTTTGGGGGACTAAGTGGTTTTCAGGGGTTACAGAGAGGGTATCAGTCATGGCCAATAGAGCATAAACGCGGAAATATATAAAATTGACTGCCAATCAAATACTTTTGAGAGGGGGAGTCATTAGGATATCATTGAGCCTTATGAGAGGATCAGGTAAATTTGGTTGTGACGCAATCCCCCTCACAGGAAATAAATAATGACCGTTCCCTGAATGCTCTCCATATTCATAGAAATACTTTAAGAGAAGTTGAATCAACTTTCCTTTAACCTCTCTCGACCGATGGATTAAAATTCCAGAATATTTCAAGTTTTCATCTATAAAAAGCAACAAACATTACTTTCAGATCTACTCATGGACGAGAAGGGACACTATTCATCCTCCGAAGATCTGCAGTCTTTCCAGCACGGAAGACAAACTCCATCTGGCAGAAGTTCCTCAAACCCTTCAACCCCAGGAGCATCCTCTCGAAAGGGTGCAACACCTGTTTGTGGGGTGTCCACCGAGAACAGTGCCGCTGGATATTCATCGTCTTCATCGTCACCTTGCTTTCCCTCTCGTGCGTGGTTGCGTGATGCGGTTTACAACTCCTCTTCATCTTCAATAAATGAGACGTCAAGTCCTTCAGGTTGCTTGTCGCCAAATCATTGTTGTAGATTGCCTCGTTCCGCATCAAATTCTCCACGTATGACTCCTCAGGGCCAGTCCACTGATCATTCATGTAGTTACGTGACATCTTCTACATTTTCCCCTTGTGCAACACCTCAGCGTGGACGGTCGCCTAATCCCCCTTCCATATCAAGTAGCCAGGTCTATTCCGAGTCTTCGGAAGAACCGGAAATCTCCAATCAGAGTAACGATAGTTTTCCGATGAGCATCGAGGCCTGTGATGAGAAGCACAACACGGCACTGAGAAGCGTAAATAGCGGCCCCGCTAAGCAAAACAAAGGCATCAAGGGGAACTCTAATGGATGGAAAAAAGGCAGCAAACCGAAGAAAGATCTGGTTTGTTCCTGTGGACAGGATGTGGATTTTAAAGAAGTTCCTCCGTTAAGTCGAAACCACACCGAGGCGGTTGCAGACAGAGGGAAAGATCCACGCTTGGTCGGTTACACTGATAAAAGCGCTAACTCTGTCACTGCAGCAAAAATCGGGAAAGAAGTAAAAGATGACGAGACAGCACAGGAAAGCGAAAACGCCAAGAGTACGGGTAAGTTGTCACAAACCTTGTTTACCTTCCTCGCTATCAACCGGAGGGGAAACCTGAAAATGTACTGAGCAAGGCAAGCCCCATAACTCGATGAGTACTAATCGTGGGTGAACTGCATACAAAAAATTTACGTTGTTGAACATTTAATCTCTGGATTGATGCTAATGGCACTTCATTCTGACAACTTAGCTCAGGCGATGTCCGGCATCCCACATTGCACGTTTCTAGGGGAGGGTATTGCACCTTGTCGCTTTGTGTAAATTAAACTGGCGTTGATGAGCCACTTGGGTTGTTAACTGCAGTTCATTCTCGCCATGTAGTCATCACGTGAACTTCTTACTTCAGTCTTAAGATAGGAGGACAGTGATTATTTTCCTTTCCAATAGACGTTCAAAGTAACTTTAGCAGCATATGTCTTCTGACAGACTTTTCTCTTTATTTCTCTCTTTTAGTCGATGAATGTAAGTACAAAAAGATTTGCCGCAAACACGAAGTCGAGCATCGCTGTCGAGGTATGAAGCTATAGCTTTCCTTTAGATGCCATTTATGTCATTCCAGCCCTTGAAACATCGGACTCGAAATTGATCGTGAGGAATTAGTAAACGCTAAGTTTGATCTTCGATTAACAAGATAAGCTGGCACTCGAACAAGAAAAAAAAATAATTTCCCACTAGAAATCGAACTCGAGACCTTTGGATTTTATGAACCGATGCCCCAACATGGAACTGCAAAGAAGTCGATGGCGAGCGGAGCCATGACTGATCCTGGCTGTTTTCAGAATGCATGTCGCAAGTGCATATGAACCCAGAATTGGCCGTTCCACAATAGAATTCTCTGTTACTCAGTAGAAGAGCATCAGAGAGCAATATCCAGAGGATTACATCTTCCTTTATCATCTCGGAGTTCTCTGTCTTAACCCTTTAACTCCCACGAGTGACGAAGACAGAATTTCTTCTTACAATATAAATACAATATCAAGCAGACAGGTAATGAGAATAAAGGAAAACATCAATAAGGGGATTGTCAATTTATCCAATACAAAATTCTCGAAACTAACATCATGAGAACTATACAGCAGAGTAGAGAGAATTTCTATTTAGATCTTGAGAGTGAAAGGGTTAAGAAGGAAAAATATGGACGTGTCGACTCGTTTCTGACGCTTATCACAACCAATATTTACAGCTCTCATGCTGTTGAAGAACGTAAAGTGATACTTCGTTGTTTTCTTTGATTCCAGATTGTTGCCCACAATCGAGTGATTTATTTTTTTCACTCATCAACAATGACCGGCCCTGCCTCAAAGAACCAATCTGTACAGAGCTTAACAAAAACAACGATTATAGAAACTTGCTTATTTGGACCAGGATGGATGCTGAAATTAAGGAGACGTTTGAAGGAAGTCAAAATCCGGCGGAGCGTGTCTTAGAAAGACTGAAAGCTCGGCGTCCAAAGCTGACGCTTGGGGAGTTTCAGGATATGCTAGCCAAAATTAAACGCAATGATATAGCACACATTATACATACCCACCATTTTACATGTAATCTTTGTAGGAAAAATAGTTTCGATTCAAGGAGTTAGGTTATTAGATGACCACTTAGGGCTGGACATTTTTTTAACAGTTTTTAGTTAGCTGTACCGACACCAAAAACAAAGAGGCATAGAGTGCTTCTCAATTAATTGTTGAACGCAATCCGTGATTGCATTGGTTTTGATTAACAAAGCTTTGTAATTGGTGTAGAAAACTTTGTTCACCCTCTCAACCAATCAGATCCAAGCCAGAACTGATTTCGATCCAGTCACTTCCGCCTCTCAGCGTTTCAGTTGAATTGCATGTTGAAATATTAAGCTTTGAATTCCTTCAACTGAAAATATTTCTTGGCTCTGGTTGATAGTTCAATGGTATTTATTTACGACAGTCAAGTGAAATGCGTTCTACTTCGGCCGATGAGAAAAAATTGAAGAAATATATGACACTGACGCTTGTACAGGAGAAGATCCAGACCCATCATTGGATTTGTTCGGTTGAGAAGTTTTCATTTACTTTTT